TCTGTCCTATGGGATTGCTATGAGTCGAATCAACTCCACCATAGTGGGTTTGGTTTCTGGGTTTTACATTTGACTTTCACAAAAAAACAGGAATTTTGACATAGAAAGTGATTGAGGGCTATGCTACTCAAAGAGTAGTCCAAGGACCCAACATCATTGCCACTACCTAGAAGCTTGTTAGAAAATGAAGCATTTGAGGCCCTCACCATAGACTTGCTGAATTTGATCAGTTTTGACTAGTTCTTTAGGTGATTCATATACGCCTTTGAAGTTTACGAAGCATTGATCTAAAGGGTAAGATTTTGTTTTTTTGAAGTGGCAGAGAGAATTATAGGAGCTTGTGATGTCATGAAGTCAAGAAGTTTATTTTTATTAATTTGTTAAAGAAGAATTCTTTGTTTAGTGTTTATTTGTAATTGATAGTGCCGATAATATGTTTTCTTTTTAATAGACTATTTTTAGAGCAATTTTAGATTTATAGAAAAATTGTGCAGAAAGTACAGTTCCCTTATACCCCCTCCCCTTCACATCATTTGTCCTGTTGACATCTTGCATTGTATTTCTTTTAAAAGTCATACTAAGTAATTTTTTAAGTTTTGTTTTTTTAACTTATGAATTTATCGCCTTAGACAGTAAAATTGTATCCTGCCACGATCTAAGTACTTATTAACGTTAATTAATCAAATAAAAATAAATCTAATAAAAATAATCTGTGGCCATTGAAGATATCAGTCAAGCAACAAGCAGATGCTAAACAGTAGGTATTGTCTTAGTACTTACTGGTTGCCTAACACTGTCAAGCACTGTTGTTAGTTGCTCTTGAGTTGGCTTCCACTCATGGTGACCTTATGTATAACAGAAGGAAACATTGCCCAGTCCTGTGCCATCTTCATGATAATATTTGAGTCCATTGTTGTGGCTGTTGTGTCAGTCCATCTCATGGAGGGTTTTCTTCATTTTTGCTGACCCTGTACTAAACATGATATCCTTTTCTAACAATTGGTCTTTCCTGATGATGTGTCCATAGTAAGTGATACAGAGTCTTGCCATCCTTGCTTCTAAGGAGCATTCTGGTTGTTATACTTCTAAGGCTGATTTGTTTTCCAGGCAGTCCATGGTATATTCAATATTCTTCACCAACACCACAGTTTGAGTGCATCAGCTCTTCTTCAATTCAGGTTTTTCATTGTCCAACTTTTGCACGCATGTGAGGCAATTGAAAAGACCATGGCTTGCGTCAGGCACACCTCAGTCATCAAAATGACATCTTGGCTTTTTAAGATTTTAAAGAGGTCTTTTGCAGCAGATTTGCCCAATGACTGTTGTTTGAGTTTTTGACTGCTGCTTCTATGCATGGTGATTGTTGATCTAAGTAAAATAAAAATCGTTTACAACTTCAATTTTTTCTCCATTTATCATGATGTTGTTTATCAATCCACCAATCATTGTGGAGGAGGTGAATGGCTGGGATATATGGTTATTCTTTGGGGGTAGCAGAAGATGATATGGCTTCCACCGCCCTCCTCTTAGTACAGAGAGGAGGTCTTTGATAGTCCTTTGTAGCAGGCATCTATACGAATTGTCACACTTGTGAAACTGGAGATTCAGAAGCATCTGTCTAGGCCTCTATGACCAACAGTTTCCCCTCCACATTCTTCTTTCTCTGTGTTAATGTTCTGAAGGATTTTTTCCCTTTCTCTTCAGTTTGAGACCATTTGTCTCTGATTCAGCTTTTCTTGCTGTGATTGTTATGTTCTTGGATCAAACTGCCACAGTTCTGACCCTCCTCTGACAGTCTGGTGAATTCTGTGGGCTGTTTCTCAGAACAGTGAGGGCTAGAGGCTGAATGATGTGCTTTTCTCATTCTTGTATACTCATTATTGCTGGTCATTTGTGAGCCAGCTGTTGTGTGGGGCAGCAGCTGCAGGGTGGGGAAGCTGAATGCCAGGCTCTTTTCTGAGGGGAGAATTTGAGCAGCTCCCTAACATAGCACTCAAGGTACTATTAGCAGCTCCCACTGCTTCTTCACATCAGTAGCCCATGCAGCTGGGACGCTAGTGATATAAAACTAGACTAAGCTCTGGCAGTTCTTTATGGCTTGAATATAATCAGTGTTTGAACAGAGCCATGCACACCTTGGATCCTAGCTGCCTTGAGTGCAGACCATGAGCATGCAGTGAAATCCACAGGGGTTCATGTAGCTCTACTGTCAAAGCATCCTGTTGTTAGTAATTACTTTTTTAATAGTGTAAGTTAATGTTCTGTTGTATCATCTCAATATATTTTTAAGACAGTAGGTCAATGTTTTCTGCATAACAAGCATTTTAACTATTTGCTGTATATGTCTAAGTAAAATTCTGTTTAAGCTCACATTTTTGGGATACTTGTTAGATTAAGTAAAATTTATTTATGTTGAAGTCAGTTCTTTGAATCAGTTTACTGTATCTCAAAAAATGAACTTGTCCTTGTCCTATATTAGTGACGATAAAGTACAGTGAACTTTAATAATGGCTGGAGGATAAAACCAAAACCCACACCCATTGCCGTCGAGTCAGTTCCGACTCATACCGACCCTAGAGGGCAGTAGAACTGCCCCATGGGGTTTCCAAGGAGTAGCTGGTAGATTCAAACTGCAGACCTTTTGATTAACAGCTCAGCTCTTAACCACTTCACCACTAGGGCTTAAGGATAGGTTGGGAGAAGTGTGTGTGTGTGTGCGTGCGTGCGTGCGTGTGTATGTGTGTATATGTATACATATATATAACCCATCCGTTGCCCTCGAGTCAATTCCGACTCATAACGACTCTATAGGACAGAGTAGAACTGCCCCACAGAGTTTCCAAGGAGTGCCTGGTGGATTCAAACTGCAGAACTTTTGGTTAGTGGCCGTAGCTCTTAACCACTACGCCACCAGGGTTTCCACATATGTATAGTACGTATAGTTGTTTTTTTTTTTTTTTTTTTTTTTTTTGGCGGGGGAGGCATGGGTCTTTTCCCTATAGCTTTGTAAGACAAATATTTAATATCCTTATGTGATTTGAATCTAGTGGTTCCAATGTGGTATTTTTTGCTTTAAGATATTATAATGGTTTCCGGGGGTGGGGGGCAAAAATTATGGTAGCTTTTTCAGAGGACAAAAATAAGGGCAAAAGTAAAAGGGAGACTTCATGATTATGTCTGATGTCCAAGTTGGAATGAGGTTAAAAAAGAAAAAATGCTCAATTAAGGCTAGGAAGGAAAATGGCAGCTCCAATCTCATAGTCCCCTTCTATAGCAGGGAAAAAGAAGGCTTGAGGAGGAGGAGTTGCCTTCACTAGCTGGGATAATTGTATCTGATTGGCAGTATGTATATTTTTAGCCAATAGTTTCCAGTTTACATTTTATCCTTGATTAGTACAAGTCACTTAGTGCCCTCGACTGAGCTTATTTCAGTGTCCATGCTGCCTGGTAAACTAGCAGATGCTCATAAGTAGTGTACAAATATTGGTGCATGTTCAGAGATGGAGGTTCAGGGACTGTTGCTTGTAATTCTACTACAGAATAAAGTCTATATGTAGACATGTTATGTCTCATAATTTGGGTAAAATGTTTGATTTCAGATCCATGAGAGTGAGGCCCAGGAGACCAACCATAAAAGTATTTGAATATTTTATTTATAAAACACAGCACACACACATTTATTTATGTTTTTCCTGTACAAAAATTTATACATACATTGTTATGTGACTAATTACTCTCCCCGTACTGTGACAGCACACTTCTCCCTTCCACCCCTGATTCCCCATGTCCACTCAACCAGCTCCTAACCCTTTCTGCCCTCCCATCTCACCTCCGGACAGAAGCCACCAGTTTAGTCTCTTGTATCTACTTGAGCTAAGAGGCACACTCCTCTCAGGTATCACTGCATGTCCCACAGTCCAGTCCAATCCCTGTCTGAAGAGTTGGCCTTGGAAATTGTTTCAGTTCTGGACTGATAGAGAGTCCAGGGGCCATGCTTTCCGGGGATCCTCCAGTCTCAGTCAGACCATTAAGTCTAGTCTCCTTACTAGAATTTGAGTTCTGCACCCTACCTTTCTCCTGCTCCATCAGGGACTCTGTTGTGTTCCCTGTCAGGGCGGTCACTGGTGGTAGCCGGGCACCATCTCGTTCTTCTGGTCTCCGGCTGATGAAGTCTCTGGTTTATGCGGCCTTTTCTGTTTCTTGGGCTAATAACTTTCCTTGTGTCTTTGGTGTTCTTCATTCTCCTTTACTCCAGGTGGTTAGCACCAATTGATGCATCTTAGATGGCCTCTTGCAAGCTTTTAAGACCCCAGACGCCACTCACCAAAGTAGGATGCAGACCATTTTCTTAATAAGCTTTGTTATGCCAGTTGACCTAGATATATCCCCTGAAAGCATGGTCCCCAGACCTCTACCCCTGCTACTCTGTCACTCAAAATGTTTGATTGTATTCAGGAAACTTCTTAGCTTGGTTTAGTCCAGTTGTGCTGACTTCCCTTGTAGTGTGTGCTGTCCTTCCCTTCACCTAAGATAATTCTTATCTATTATCTAGTTAGTAAATAACCCTCCCCCTCCCTCCCCACCCTCATAACCAT